TTATTTTAAAATTATCTCAATTATTGACTGTAAATTGAGATTTCGCGTATATAAATGCACGATTGACTTTTACCCATTAAATTCTCTTTATATGCGCGATGCTTTGACTCTGTTTTCGGACTCCGAATGTCCGTCGCGAATTCAGCTTGAGACGTTACGATTGACAATTTATATGTTAATTCACCCGGTGGACAATAATGCCGAAATTGATTGCTATTGGACTGTGTTGTGCACCTGACGCGGCGTGTATAAAATTTGTCTGTGGTGGGAAATTCCATCAGATTTTTCCCTTTATTGCCTGTTGACTCTCTCGGGCCAATATTGCCAATTTCATGGGGGTTCGTGTTAATGCACTGGCGGCCAGAGTTGCCTAATGTTTTCATCTCTGCACTCTGCCTTTGGGCGGCGAGACAGAACGAGATGAAGACATCGATTAAAGTATTCTAATTAACTTTTATGGCAGCCCATCGTAGTTAATCTAATTGCGCATGTGTTCTTAATGCCGTGATTTATGGATTTCCTCTTCTTTTCCACACAAGTCCACGTGAAAGTGATTTTAATATTGTGTGCAGAGCCCGAAAAAGAAAGGAACTAATGTAGAGTTGCGTGTGTCGCTGGAAGATTCTTCTTCTTAGAATCCCGCGTGCGCGCGCGACGACGACGATGGATTTGAAGCACAGGAAGAGAAGAAGCAGAAGAAAATTTCTCAGAGGTTATTTTATATTCGTCAATTGGCAATCATAAATCAAATAAACAACAACATGTTGGGAGTAAATTGACAAGATATCGAGAATATTAAATGATATGAAATGGTTATTTATTAATAAGAGAAGAAAAGCAATGCGCCAGTGCTTTTGCCACTGTTCGCGACTCTCATGTCAATTTCTTATTATATTTTTGTGCAAAGTTACATTAGATTCAGAGGCAGAGAGAGAGAGAGAGAGAGTCCAAGGGGAAAATCATTCGCGATTTGAGACCATTAACTTTGTGTTTATTCAATCATTTCGTGATTTTTGCCTAAATTTTGATTTATTTTATTTATTTTGGCAATTTTATTAGCTTATCTACATTGATAAAGAAGAAAAAACCACAAAAATTTGCCTCAAGATGGATTTGAACTCCTCAAAGGCCAATTTCTCCTTTGGTAAATACAATTTGAGCTTCTTTCTGCCTTTCAAACTTTTACTTCATTTTCACTCTCAAATTTCGGTTTTTTTTTGGCTAGAATTACGCCAGAAAGTCAAAGAGTTACAATAGCGTCCCTCACGCCGACTTTACTGCCCTCTGGTGGCGATATGTGGTGAGAAAATAATCAAATTTTGCTTGTTTTGCAATTTAACGTGTAAAATTAGTATTTTTTGATTATTTTTCATTCAAATTTGGATTTTTCTCATAGAAAGTACTGTTTATATTGAAACCATTGAAATTCCTTGTGATTTGCCCCTTGAGAAAAGTCACTATTGGACGTCTGAAGCGCGGAATGTGTGTTTGCTCGTGGACTTCTCCCGAATGAATCGCGTGCAGAATTACAAATACAACACTTCAAATATGCTTTAAAATAAATTACCTCTGAAATTCACATGGGGGAGAAAATATTTTGAATACCTCAATGTCTGTTGGACTGTTTTTATTTTTTTTAATCTCTCTCTCTCTGAGAAACGGAACACTTTCTAATGTCGCTCTCCTCGCGGTGATCAGTCAACTTTTATCCTCCCACGTATTAATAGGCAATTGCAGGGATATCATTTGACGCTGTAATTCACTCTTCGCATTCAGCGGGGAAAACATCTGGAAAATGTGTGTGTGTTTTTTGAGGGTTTTTTAGCAATTACACGGCGATTAATCATGACTTTGTGGCAGGAATAATATTGATATCCTTTCATTCAGGTGATTTATCTTGAAATGCACATTTTCTCCATCATGGGAAGAAAAAGAAACTGTTAGCAATTAAGTGAATTTTATCTGTCTGATTGCGCGCTGCTGTTTCGGCAAAATCTTCAAGTCTGTCTGTCTTCAGTGCAGAAGCCATGAGTGGAGAATAATAAATAAGAAAAGCACAGCAGATGACAATGCAATCATTTTGATGGGGGCAAACTAACCGGCCTTAATTAATTTTGTTGATAGATGATGAAAAAAGAAACGGAGACAAGATGCGCGGAGTTTGAGAAGAGAAAAGATGGAGTGAAAAAGAGCGGTGAATTAATTTAATTATTCATTTTTTTTGCATGCTCAAGAGAAGCTCTCAAGAGGTGAGAATTGGGACAATAGCAATGCGCCAAGAGAGTTTTTTTCTTCATGGCGAATGCATAAATACATCTCGAATGGCGGGAAAGTTTTTTATTCTTTCACGCTCAAACAGGAAAGGATCACTGACCAAAAATTAATGGGCAAAGTTATAATGATATTTCTATTTTCGCCCTCGGACTATAATCGGATTATGTGACGTTGTGATACAATCAGAAAAATCCAAGAGAGAGAGAGAGAAGAATCTGCAAAAGCATGGTTGACTTTTGGTCCTTTTGACAAACACACTCAAATCCGATTAGCATCGGGAAGCCATGCGAATGCTCACGTAATGATTAATTCTGCTCTCCTCGCTGCTTTATGGATTCCTCATGCCCTTATGCTGCATGCTAAGTGCCGCTCGAGCACCTAAAGTTATGTTTTGACAGAGAAATTGCTGTGATTTTGACTGCAAACTCGATATTTTGCTTTAAAATCTCTTTTTATAATCTATAAACGTCAAAGATTCATAAAATAAGATAAGATATAAGGGGAATTTATTAAAAACTCTGGAATTTCTGCACAAAATATCCTTTCTAGTCTTGTGAAACGTTAAAATTCAGACCAATTTAATGATTTCACCAGTAAAAATTGTTTGTCTTAAAGTGTCATTCTTATAAGATAAGATTTGACGTCTTATGTGATAAAATACGATCGAGCACCTTAAGTTGTGTTTGATAGAGAAATTAGTATGATTTTGTGTCAAATGTATGAATTCATAAGACTTGATAAGATGTAAATGAGATAATGAATGTCGTTGACGTGAATTCTAACCTCAAAACGTCTCGTAATTTATGAAAAAGTCTATAATTTCTTCACAAAATATTCTTTCTAGTCTCGTGAAACGTTAAAACTCAGTCCCATTTAATGATTTCACTGTTAAAAAATTGGTATCTTTAAGTGTCATTCTTATAAGATAAGATTTGACGTCTTATGTTATAAGATATGATCGAACAGCTAAAGTTGTGTTTTGATAGAGAAATTAGTATGATTTTGTGTCAAATGTATGAATTTATAAGACTTGATAAGATGTAAATGAGGTAATGAATGTCGTTGACGTGAATTCTAACCTCAAAATGTCTCGTAATTTATGAGAAACTCTAGAATTCCTTCACAAAATATCCTTTCTAGTCTTGTGAAACGTTAAAACTCAGTCCCATTTAATGATTTCACTGTTAAAAAATTGGTATCTTTAAGTGTCATTCTTATAAGATAAGATTTGACGTCTTATGTGATAAGATAGAAATGTAAAGTTACATAAGTTGAAATTGACTGAATTTCTTCGGTCTTTTTTTCCTCTGACAAAATTTCAGCAAACGCCAAAACCTCTTTCACTGGTGTAAATTCTCACTTGTGATGCCAGTCTTTGATCTTTGACAAATCGAGCGTTCCAGAGAGACTGATGCTTTGCACACAGTCCTGAAATCTTCCCCTTGCAATCTTTTCTGGCTTGGCGAAACGGCGCTGAATCTTCAATGGGAAGCGTGGAATTGTGAGATGCGCCGCGTGAAACATTGTTTCTCATCATCTCACCAAATACCATTGGTCACACAGAGCTTCTTTTCTCCCTCATTCGCCAACTGCAATTTGTCATCGACACGAAGCTCTTGCACACGATATATTGGAGGACAATAGCTGGGCTAATCAATTGCAAATTTATTCGGTGTCATAGACGGCGAGAATGAGGCACTCTTGGCGCTGTGTTTGCCGAGAGAGGGTCAAAAAATTGCACTCATGGCGAAGAGAGAAAGAGTGTCACATTAGCAATCTGATTGAAATAACTCGGGAGTCACGTAAAGTATCTAATTAAGTGTTTTCTTCTGCCATTTGGCGTCTCTTCTCAGCGCTTTGGCGAAAGAGAAAGACTGTTTTTTGCAACATTGTTGAGGGTTCTTTGATCACCCAAAAGAGGTGTTTATTCACGTGACTTTTGTCCTGGGACGCACTGGTTTGCTGATTTCGTCAATTCTCGCCGGCAGATTGTTGAAGTTCGTGAGGATTTTCACGGGAATGTCGATGGCGAATGCCTGAATGGCGATGGTGATGCTGAATCTTCTGTATGGCGGATAAATTGGTGGTTTTTCCACCACAATTTCAGGCACTTTCTTCACCACAGGCTTCGCCAGTTGAATTATCCTTGGCGAAGCGATATAATTCAGCGCCGATTTCTTCACACTAACTTCACGATCTGAAGAAACTGGCCGAAATCTCACTCTTCTGGGCTTTGCCAGGTATTCTAATCTCGCCAAATGCTTCTGAAGTCTCGAAGATTTGACGCTCTTCTTGGATTTCTTCGGCATTTTCTTACAGGGAATTTTCTCTCAAACAAAAATACCGTTTTTTGACTGGCTTTCTGAAATTTGAAGGGTCGAAAAAACGACCCCTTTAACAAGCTATGAAATATGATTTGGAAATTGAGCTATTTTTAGCGAGAAACGGACTTTTTTACCCGAAAAATCAGTTAAGAAATGTCACACTGTTGAGAGTCTTTTTAGCGAAACAAGAGGAGGAAAAAAAAATGGTGCAATAAATCACCAAATATAGCTTAAGAGTCGCGTTTGGGAGGCCGGAATAAGTGAAACCACACGTTGTGATGGTTGAAAAATTCACATATGGTCCGTTTGCATATAAATTCCTACCTATAAATAGGAGAAACATGGCTGGAGGAAAAGGAATTCAATTGACAAGAATCTCTGGGTGGAATTTCTCTTTTGCAGCGCCGTTTAGTGTGCACAAATCGCGACGGCGACACAATCCGCGCGGCACCAAGCGAGGACGTCCGCGAGGATCGCGCCGCGGCGGTGGCAACAGCAGTCTGGGGCGTCTGGAAGCGACCGCGGCGGACACAAATGCAGGTTAGCACTTCCTCTTGATCACTATCGTCACGTGTTTGTGCAACATTTCCCCCCCAAAAAACAGCTCAATCGCCACTTCCAATCGCTCTCGGGGGTGATGATATCGCGCCAAACACCTCTGTTCGGATGCGATTTGAGTGGCTCATTGAGTCGTGTATCTTTTGTATTGATCACGTTCTCAGCGTCACGTGGACAATGAGTTAATTTTTTCCTGCGACACGTGTTAATATTCAGTGGCGTGACAAATTCACCCTCCGCTCGCCATTCATCCACTCGAATATCCAATCACAAGAGGGTGAAAAGCGCCTCGAGGACCGCACAAGGGGGAGATAGTGTGGGGCCTGAAGTAAATGCTTCAATTTACGAAGAAAAAAGTGAATTTTTTTCTGAATTTCCCTTTGAATTGGAACAGAAGATCGCTGTTCTTGAACATTTTCAGTTAAGAAACACTGGAAATTGTGATAAACTGCCAACATAGGGGTAAGTGGGGCAGTTTCAGATTCAAAATGCTGTTCCAACTTTAGGATTTTTTCTTGAAAAATCGGCTGAATATATTGAAATAATCACAACGCTCAAATAAACTCTCGTCTATTGAGCTTCAGAAAATGCCTTTCATTGGGCATTAAAACTGATCGTTTTTCCTCTAAAGGAGAATGAAAATAATATTGTAATTTATCTGAAACATCCCCGCGCGGGGATGTTTCGGTTTGCTCTGGGGCAGTTCTAGATTTTCACTTATATTTACCATAAATTCCATTGTGGAATTGTAGAATCGCGGGCAAATGATCACTTTGATATCTATTCTACGCACTGAAACTGTTTCATTCCCTAAAAATCGCCTTTAAAGTACTATTTTCGCGACTTTTCTGGACCCTTGCACGGACTGTCAAAATTTCTGAGCGGGAAGCAAATTGCCCGTCATTTTTCCTGTATTGCATCGCCACCATGCGTGAGTGGTGGCAACTTGACGCGCCGCGAAAGTTCCGCGCAAAATGTGCTTCTCGAAATTTCTGCTCTAATCAGTGATTTTCGCGTGTATTTTCTCACTTTTCAACGAAGAAGTCGTTTAACGTGATGAAGCAATGCAGCACAGAGCAACATTTTGTGAAAAACCTTCAATATTTGCCACAAGAATATTTCGACCGTGATGTTGCGTCAGACTGTCAGAGCGCGCTGTTGTCAGTCCGTGGCGATCCGAAACTGCCCCGCGATGGAATCTATATCTGCCCCATTGGGTGGTTTTGTGCATTTTCCACCACCCACTGAAAAGGTCGTGATCAGGAGGAAAAGTTCGGGCACATTTATGATCTCTACTAAGACTACGAAGACTAGAAATTGATTCATGTGAAAATCTATGAGAAAATTAAGAAATCTGAAACTGCCCCATTTACCCCTCCTAACCTCAAAAGTAGCATTTCGGGATATTTTTTTTAACCACTTTTAAGGCATGAAATCAGCCATTTTGAGCTCACTAACAGGTCATAATAACAGTATAAAATCTTCTAATTTTCCTTTAGTGTAGTTCTAAAAAAAAATCTTGAAAAGATTTAAATTTGTTAGGTTCTAAAAGAAGCGATTTTTGAAAGTATATTCATTTTAACTGAAAAATAAACACACAAACAGTCTTAGAGAGAAGAAACACCTGTTTTTTTCGATTTGAAATTGAAATTTATTGTTTTCATCCTATTTATACGTTTGTTTCCAGTCCAATTAATGCTTCTAACTGCTAATTGGGCTTTTTTAAATCCAGATTTAAACGATTTCCAGCAGAAAAGTGTGCTGAAAAGACAAATTGGTGCAGAAAACATGTGTTCTGAGGGACTTAGAGAAGCTGATGTTCAGGAACTGTCAGATGATTTCACAGGCCACATTATCTGCCCCTTGACGAGCCGTCAAGAACATCCGCAGTGGCAATTTTGCAAATTGCGTCAATTGGCGCCAAATTTGCCGCAAGTCTTCTTTGGGGGTCGAAGAGAAGCGTGATTGCGAAGCAAATCGGTAGATTATCATCCCTTCTCTCTGTGTCTCTGTGTTTGCAGGCCAAGCGACGAGTGGCGGTGATTTATCGGCCCAGCCGCCGGCCGTTCCGCCCATCGTGCGCCGCGGCCCGGGCAGACCGCGGCTGAAGATCGCCGGGCCGCGCAATCAGGGCTACAGAGGCAAGCCGCGCCCCCGGAAGCCGATGGGGCCGCTCGTGGTGCCGCTGGGCCAGAGCCCGGGACCGACGCCGCCCGGCCGCAGTCCCGCCTTGAGTCCAGCGCCGAGTCCGGCGCCGGAGAAGTCGCACGGCTTCTACCAGCCGATGAACGACAACGTCTGAAAGTGTTTCGCGTGACGCGGAGAGAAAAGAAGAAGAAAAAAAAGGAATTGTATGTGGAAATAGACCAAAAAAGCGCAAGGTAAGAAGTCTTTCACAGAGCATTTCTTTTGTGATGCGCCACAATTGGTCATCGCGCGGTGGTAAAAAGAGAACCTCAACACTTTCATCATCAATTCATTCTGGCGTCGAGATAAATAGTGGTCAATTAGCACTTGTTCACTATGATGAAATACTCTGAATTTGCATGTGAATTGTGCTCATTTTCTGCTTCATTTGTGTGAATGGGCAATTTGAGCAATGAAAAGGCGTACAAAAACGCGCGCTGTCTTTTAGCGTGATTCACAGCATCTCGCATGCGATGAAGGAAGAGATTTTTCTCTGTTTATTTAGCACTGTGCGCGGACGTTATTATCATTCACATGAGAATGAGATCCACAATTGTCACTTCTCTGCTGGATTTCCTATCCGAATCACGTAAAGTGGCATTTATATGCCATCTCTTTCCATTTACATAAATTCGTCCAAAGAGCCCCGCAAGAGTGGACAAAAACGGCAAGACAAGTGATGGTTCTCGTCAAACACTTTCATGCTCTGTTTTTGTCAATTGCAGAGTGCTGAAAAAAGTCTCGTCACTCATTAAAAACCAAGTGTGGGAAGGTGAAACTTTAATTCTATCCAAATAAGAACGTTTTTCACGCCGTTTCGCAACTTGTTTCTTTAGGTGGTGAAGATATTTCTTTTTTTTTACCTTTTTCGAGACTCTGGAATTTGGAAAAGAAGTTTCGTGAAATGTTAACTAAACCAATTCAATAATGATAATCAATGCCACAAATCATCAACGCAGAAATTAAACAATTTAATTTTTTTTGCAAACTACAACGGTAAACCGTAACTTTATTTTTGAATTTCCAAAAAAAAGGCATGGAAGAAAAATTTTGATAAAAAGTACGTTGCTCTTAGAGCAGAATTTTGAAAAACCACTTGAAATGATTAAGGAATGCAGCTTCGAAAATTTGAAATCTAGTTCGAAATTGTTTAGTTGTTAGAAGAAAACCAGGGATTTTGCAGCTGATTCTCCAACTTATGGAGATTCAGGAACTTCCGGGTCAGTTGGCGGATCTGCTGTCTCATTTTCCTCGGGTGGAGTTGGTTCTTCCTCAGGCGGAGTTGGTTCCTCAGGTGGAACTGGTTCTTCCTCAGGTGGAGTTGGTGGTTCTTCAGGCGGAGTTGGTGGTTCCTCAGGTGGAGTTACTTCGGGATCACTGGGACTGTCTGGCGGTATTTCTGGTGACGCATCTTCCTCAGGTGGAGTTGATTCCTCAGGCGGAGTTGGTTCTTCCTCAGGCGGAGTTGGTTCCTCAGGTGGAACTGGTTGTTCCTCAGGTGGAGTTGGTGGTTCTTCAGGCGGAGTTGGTGGTTCCTCAGGTGGAGTTACTTCGGGATCACTGGGACTGTCTGGCGGTATTTCTGGTGACGCATCTTCCTCAGGTGGAGTTGGCTCCTCAGGCGGAGTTGGTGGTTCCTCAGGTGGAACTGGTGGTTCCTCAGGTGGAGTTGGTGGTTCCTCAGGCGGAGTTGGTTCCTCAGGTGGAACTGGTTGTTCCTCAGGCGGAGTTGGTTCCTCAGGTGGAACTGGTTGTTCCTCAGGCGGAGTTGGTGGTTCTTCAGGCGGAGTTGGTGGTTCCTCAGGTGGAGTTACTTCGGGATCACTGGGACTGTCTGGCGGTATTTCTGGTGACGCATCTTCCTCAGGTGGAGTTGGCTCTTCAGGCGGAGTTGGCTCCTCAGGCGGAGTTGGTTCCTCAGGTGGAGTTGGTTCCTCAGGTGGAACTGGTTGTTCCTCAGGCGGAGTTGGTTCCTCAGGTGGAACTGGTTGTTCCTCAGGCGGAGTTGGTTCCTCAGGCGGAGTTGGTGGTTCCTCAGGCGGAGTTGGTGGTTCTTCAGGCGGAGTTGGTGGTTCCTCAGGTGGAGGTACTTCGGGATCACTGGGACTGTCTGGCGGTATTTCTGGTGACGCATCTTCCTCAGGTGGAGTTGGCTCTTCAGGCGGAGTTGGCTCCTCAGGCGGAGTTGGTTCCTCAGGTGGAGTTGGTTCCTCAGGTGGAACTGGTGGTTCCTCAGGTGGAACTGGTGGTTCCTCAGGTGGAGTTGGTGGTTCCTCAGGTGGAGTTACTTCGGGATCACTGGGACTGTCTGGCGGTATTTCTGGTGACGCATCTTCCTCAGGTGGAGTTGGCTCTTCAGGCGGAGTTGGCTCCTCAGGCGGAGTTGGTTCCTCAGGTGGAGTTGGTTCCTCAGGTGAAGGTGGTTCCTCAGGTGGAACTGGTGGTTCCTCAGGTGGAGTTGGTGGTTCCTCAGGTGGAGTTACTTCGGGATCACTGGGACTGTCTGGCGGTATTTCTGGTGACGCATCTTCCTCAGGTGGAGTTGGCTCTTCAGGCGGAGTTGGCTCCTCAGGCGGAGTTGGTTCCTCAGGTGGAGTTGGTTCCTCAGGCGGAGTTGGTTCCTCAGGTGGAACTGGTGGTTCCTCAGGTGGAGTTGGTGGTTCTTCAGGCGGAGTTGGTGGTTCCTCAGGTGGAGTTACTTCGGGATCACTGGGACTGTCTGGCGGTATTTCTGGTGACGCATCTTCCTCAGGTGGAGTTGGCTCCTCAGGCGGAGTTGGTGGTTCCTCAGGTGGAACTGGTGGTTCCTCAGGTGGAGTTGGTGGTTCCTCAGGCGGAGTTGGTTCCTCAGGTGGAACTGGTTCTTCCTCAGGCGGAGTTGGTTCCTCAGGCGGAGTTGGTGGTTCCTCAGGCGGAGTTGGTTCCTCAGGTGGAGTTGGTTCCTCAGGTGGAGTTGGTGGTTCCTCAGGTGGAGTTGATGGTTCCTCAGGTGGAACTGGTTGTTCCTCAGGTGGAGTTGGTTCCTCAGGTGGAACTGGTTCTTCCTCAGGCGGAGTTGGTTCCTCAGGCGGAGTTGGTTCCTCAGGCGGAGTTGGTGGTTCTTCAGGCGGAGTTGGTGGTTCCTCAGGCGGAGGTACTTCGGGATCACTGGGACTGTCTGGCGGTATTTCTGGTGACGCATCTTCCTCAGGTGGAGTTGGCTCCTCAGGTGGAACTGGTTGTTCCTCAGGCGGAGTTGGTTCTTCCTCAGGTGGAACTGGTTGTTCCTCAGGTGGAGTAGGTGGTTCCTCAGGCGGAGTTGGTTCTTCCTCAGGTGGAGTTGGTTCTTCCTCAGGTGGAGTTGGTTCCTCAGGTGGAGTTGATGGTTCCTCAGGTGGAACTGGTTGTTCCTCAGGCGGAGTTGGTTCCTCAGGTGGAGTTGGTGGTTCCTCAGGCGGAATTACTTCTGGATCAGTTGGACTGTCTGGCGTTTGATTGTTCTCCTCTTCGTCCGGCGGTGGTTCTAGAATTACCGGATCAGACGGAGTCTCAGGAACTTCAGGCTGTGGTTCTGGCGACGGTGTATTTCCATTCGCGTTTCCGTTACCACTACCATTTCCCTTTCCGTTTCCATTGTTTGTTTGAGATGGTGACGTTGGTTCGGTTGGTGCAGTGGGTTCTGTTGGTGCGGGAGGTTCAGCAGGTTCTGAAGGCGTCGTTGTTTCACTTGGTTTCGTAGTAGCCTGAGATATTATTTGGTATATGAGTGCACTGGTAAATTCTTCATCGAATGGATATTGGTCTTGAATTTGGTCTTGAATTTGCTGCTGAATCTCCTTTAATCTACTTTCAACCATTTTTGCAAACACTTCGTTGTAATTGAAGAAGAATGCATCTCCACAAGTGGCAAATGCCACGATAATCGTTAATATTAGAGCACTATTCATTGTCTAACACTTTCTTGGTGGTTCGACTATGAATTATGACTCTTGAGACTGTTATCGGGCTTTTTATATCAATTGATATGATCTAGAAAAATTATTTGCACATTTTTGCCTTGTGATAGTCTGGCGACCTTATTTGGGAAATTGAGTTTATATTTGATGTTTTTGAATTTGCCACCAAAATTTTTAGCCTCAATTATTTCATTGACATTTAAATTGGATCACGTGAAATTTGTTCAAGGCAATTTTCCACATTCTAAACATTTGGAGAGTGTTCGGTATTTGGGGGTGTTTTTGACCTCTTCTCTTTGATCGATTTACCTACTTTAAACCATCTCTTCAAACAACTCGCAAATTTGTGGCCAAATAAAATTGGTCTTGAGTTCAAATTTATATCTGTTCAACATTGATCGCAAGAAATTTCCAAATTACGCCCAATATTTATGTGTGTTTTTCGACTGTTTTTGGGCAAAAGTCGTGGGTCACGTCTCTGAAAGTGACGTTGTTTGTCAGGCGCGAAAAAATGCTGGTGGAAAAGCATAAAATTTGGTAAATTTCCAATCATTCTCACGAGGGTGCGTTCAATGGGGACATAAATAAAGTCCTGCACAAGACTGGAATTGGTAATTTGATTGGTGTTAATTTGGTCGATGGGAAGATTTCGTGATAAAAATCTCAAGCACACGATAATCCGTTCTTAAGTTGTTCTTTTGTGCCTTTTGTCTGGACGGCATTGTGTTCAGGAGGCCGAACTGAGGGATTTCTTCGGGGGGCCTTTTTGTGGCGACTCCGGCAAAGAGAGTGGGTTAAGTGGAAAATGGTGATCTTATTTGCCTGTGTCAATTACCATGGGATTATCCTGAACCCACCTGAGATGCTCTTTTTGCCATCTTCGCCATCGGTCACTTTGAGTGATCATCTTCCGACAATCCTCACTAACTGACTCATCCCTCTTCTCGGGTGCGCTTTTTGTCTCATGATCCGCACGCCGTTCATCATTCGGAACTCCGGCGTGGCTCAAACTGGAGGCAGAATTTATGGTGCGCAGATTTTCGGGCATCCTTCTGGTCATCTTGCCAGTTTGTGTGTGAGAAAGGCTGAAATGCCGCACATACTTTGGCCGCAGCACAATGAAATTATTCACAAAACTCCATCCGGAGCGCCCAGACGCGAGAGATTGCGAGACACCTTCGCGCAAGGCGGAGAAATTGTGGTCAGAAGTGGTGTACAAATGCTTCAAATGGGTTTATTCATAAATTTCTTTAGCAATTTTGATGTCATTTTTTAATCATTAATTAAATCACTTTCAATCTGTTTTCTGACTTCTGCCAAACTCCTAGAGATTTCAGGGAATCTGCAGAGAAATTGTGGATGCGATAGAAAGTGGTGTGTACAGATATTCTATCCGCCCTGACTGGCCTCGCCTTGGCGTTGTGTGCGTTGGAACATATAAGAAATTAATCGGCACATTCCCATTCAGTTTCCCACAATGCACACAGCTTTGCCGGGGAGTTATTTGGAGGTCAGATCGCGAGGATGCGGCCGAGGGGATGGGAAGGGAGCCTGAGAAATGTCCGCGAGACGCGCCGGCTGCCGCCCAAGACAATAAAAGTCACATTACCTGTTTGCCCATTTAATTTATGTAAATCGCAAAGAGGAAATAAATTCCTCGCCATGCAATTCTCAAGCTCTCTTGCGCATCGGCAGGCATGCTGTTGGCCGAAGATCAAAGAGCATCGAACGAGATTTAGCGACTCAATTCGCATGATTTTAGGGCCTTTCGACAGTGGAGATTCCCGCGCGCGGGAAACCACTCAATTCGGCAAATGTGATAAGGCTCTCTGCCTTATATGACATCATGTCGAACGAGAATTCGTGCAACTGTACTGTTGGCGATCAGGTGAATGCTAAGTGCGCGGCCGCTGATTGATGAGCCTCTTTATCAAATATGACAGGTTATTCGGCAATTACGGGTGAATAAATAAATAAGTTTGGGCTCTTGGTCAAGTAGCTTGTGTGCATGATAAAGACTGTCTTCGGGAAATTGAAGCAGTCAAATGCCGCTGAAACACAGAGCTCCAGTTTGCCACTTGGGGATCTTCTGGAGCTCAAGAGCTGTTTTTCACGCGATGCAGGAGACCTCAAGTGTTGAGCAGACATCGATCTCTTAAAGCATATTTTGCTTGCCAGAAATCTGCGACCAGAAATGGCGCACGATAACGCGATGGCGCGCGATAAAGTGCTAAATTCCCGATAGATTTTGCGCAAGAGGCAAAGTGGATTCCAGTGTTTGCGCGCCGCGGCAAAGGTCGAAAATTGCAAAGTTGCGCTGCACTTGTGCGCGACATGGAATATCGCGGCGAAAATTGTATGAATGGGGCGCGCGCGTACTTGTTGCCACAAATTGTTTTGGACCACATGCTGACAATGATGGCAAATATTCCGCGGGCACAAATTGTGTGCGCGCCGAGTGCAAAAAACCATCAATTAATAGAGGGCCGTTTTTTTCTCATCTGCTGCTCTCACTGGCGAACATGGTGTCGCACATTTTCCAAACACAGGCGCTCGCCGAGCAATTGATACAGCCGTGGGACATGTTGCAACATTATGTATCATGTTGGGCGTCAAACAGTGAGCTCTGTGCATACTTTTGCCTTCACGCTGAGAAGTTCTTGTGCGCGCGGCTTCTGCGAGAGATGATCTGGCGGCCTTCGGCAGATCCTCAGCCAATTTTCCGCTTCAGGGCGTTTTGCCAAGCACAGAAAAATGCCTCTTCTTGGGAAGCAAATTTTTTTTTCGGAGACGACAATGAGTTGTTTTTCTCTGTACAAAAAGAAATCCAGCCATTATGTCAAGATCGACAGATTAGGCGTGCAAGGGGGGATGCTTGAAAGATGTACTTTCCGCCGGATCACAAAGTGATAACACGGCTAATTGAGTAATTTTTCTCAACTCCTCTTGGGACTTTTCCACAATTAAGACGCTAAATTTTGCTCTTGGCAACGCCAAAATCGCGCGCAATTTGTATATTTTTGCGAAACCCAATCCGACCGATGATGCTATCGTCGTGTGATCTCTTCCTGAAACTCAGTAATGTCACTTCATTAACTCTGCCTCACCTTCAAATCTCGCCCAGATCTTCTGCTGACTCCCGCGGAGGTGCGAAACGGGCCTTGATCACACTTTGTCACGAGATAACTTTTCGCTGCACAAATCCTCAATCATCTCAGCAGCCAAAAGCGCTTCGATTTCCCATATCGAATTGCACAAAAAAGGTGGCGAGAAAAAGAGGAGCAGCGCGAAATTAATCGGAAATTGTTGCAGAATCACATTGAGTGCGAAAATTGAATAGCCGGCAACAATGTTGCCGAGTGCGTTAAAGAGCGCAGTTGGTGTGCAATCAATTAAAATCAATCGACCGATCGTTCCGCATATCGTTTACCTGACAAATTGCATTTTGTCCATCATCCCAAGTCGATTTTATCCGCCGATTGGCGTTCTTTTTTGCACCCTTGCGTGGCCACTGATCGGCCACTTCTTGGACGTATAGAGAATTTTGCACAGTCACGACACGGACCAGAGTGCTGCTGAATGCAAGGTGATCACTTTACACCTTGTTCTCTTCTTGATCTGCGGGAAAATCCGCAATCCCGGCCGACCGAGAGAGTCACGTGAAACTCCTGCGCGCGATTGATAAAGAGCTGAGCAAATGTTTGCTGAAACACTGACGACGCATCTTTATTTGCAAAGCTAATACAGACTACAATAATAATTGATCAAAATTATCACCACTGCAAATCTGCTAAGAAACTCCGATCCACCGGATCAGCCGGGATGGAACGAATCGCGAATGTCGGAGGACGACAGCAATCGAGACGCACATGATCTTGACTGTGAAATTGTACACAATTTCCGATCGGCCGTCGATCAACTGATCCTCCCGACATTCCACACAATTTACGGTGGGAACGCGCGCTTTTGCACAATTCCGAGCCGGACAATTGTGATGATCTTGACTAATTGCCGGGGCCCCGCTGGTGGCCGGAGAGCTTCTGTTGAGCGTGAGTGATATTTCATAAACAAATTGCCTAATCACAATGAAAACACACACACAAAGCGAGTGGTGTGCGCCGTGAGGAACTAATGCTGCTAGATAAATCAACGGCGATTTATGTGGCTGCGCGCTTCGCGTCGCGACTCACTTGGCCATTCTTCACCCGAAACTCCACAATTGTCCAGCCCAGAACTCCCACCGCCAGGAGACACAGAGCGCCAATGAGCTTCGTGCGCGCGCACAGAGCGGCGTTCAGTGCGTAGGTCACGACGTAGCCCAGGGACTCCCACAGGCGGTAGTTGGAGAACGCGGGCTCCTGGTTGCCGGAGAAGATCGCGCCGTAAATGCCTGGAAGAGAAGATAGAGAGAGAGACTAAGATCACGGTAAGTACTGCAATAATACTTGTTTGGGGGGGGTTTGGAACGTAGGCATTACGTTCCATTGAGGGACAAAGTCTTCTCCATTGACTGATTGTCAGTTTGCCGACCAACCATAAGTGGTTCTAAAGTCCACCTTTATATACTCACCATTGACCTGGATCTGCAAGATTGAGTCTCCGACGGCGTACAGGAAGCAGATGACGAAGAACATCCACTTCTTGTGCGGCGTCGGCGCCCAGAAGAGCATCGTGAAGTAGCACGCGCTTATGGAAGCCAATCCGAGCACAAGAATCCTGATTCTGCCGTATCTCTTGGTCAGGAAACCGAAGAGAATCGACGAGATGGAGTTGCACACTCCGAAGAACACCAGCGTGAAGCCGATCTCGTTGATGCCGAGGGTGCAGGAAATAAAGGCCTTTATTTAAAATGAGTGTTAAAGGGAAAGTGGGGAAGGGATAGCTTTACTTGTGTCAGATCCGCGGCGAAGTTCGCCTGTTCCATGCCGATGAAGATCGTCAGGGGGACGAGGAGGAGTTGGTTGAGGCGCTTCAGTTGGCGGAAGGTGGCGATCAGGAGCTGGCCGACGCTCACTTTCTCGCCTCTCGTCTCGCCGTACATCGTGAGCGGATCCAGCAGGAGGCTGGTGATGATCACGGCGAGAGCGATGCACGCCAGGTAGATTCCCATGATGGTGAAGATCTCGCGATCGGGCGGCCGCTCGAGGTTCGCGATGTCCTTCGACGTGGCGGCGCAGAAGTTTGCGCCGCACAGGGTGTAGTCGATGCTGGCGTTGGCCTCGATCCGGGGCGGCGAGAGGACCAGGCCGGAGATGAGGTTGCCCCAGAGCTCGGCCGATTGCCAGCAGAGGTAGAAGATGCCGAAGAAGCGCACGATCATCGCCTCGGCGCTCTGCTGCGTGATCCTGGCGTAGATCTGCGCCACGTGCGACAGGTAGGTGGACTGCGCGGCCCAGAGCGGCGCCGCGCCCAGGCCCAGCAGACAGCCGGCCGGGATGAGTGTGTAGAGTCTGGGGTAGAACTGTGCGCCGATGTACGGCACGTAGCAGAGCATGCTGCAGCAGAGCGTCCACTTGGCCGTGAGCTTCTTGATGGCCAGCGTGGGGATGAAGGCGCACGAGATGATGATGGCGCCGAAGACGGCGCTCAGGGAAATCGTGCCCAGGCCGCCCTCCTCGTTGATCGAGGACTGCAGACTGCCGGTGCCCTGAAAGGCGGTGAATTGCAGCAGGAAGGCCACGGAAATGACGGCGATATTCTTGAGAATGCGCCACTTTCCCACACCATTGCCACCATCCGGCAGGGTGAACTCCGCCACATTTCCTACACTTATCGTCATGTTTCCCGCACTTGACGCACCACAAAATGCAACAAAAAACACACGGCAAAATAAGGGGGAGAGAAAAAAAGAGCGCGCGAAGCACTTTCGAATCTATCAACGCGCGGACAATGATTTATAGCCGCTCAGGTGCAAAAGGTGTTGAAATGCAAATGCGTCGTTTGTAGATCACTCTCTCTCTGGCTCAATATATTTCATCTCCTCTATCGTGTCTCCACTTTACGACCTTGTTGCTGATCCCATTCACGTGATCGCGCGAGGATCTTATTAATGATCATGAAATATTGGCACGATCGAGAGTCAGGAAAGGCGACAAAACTTTATGCAACAAAGTCTTGGCAATTGCAGCCCGCGGAGGAGAGAAATCCAACTCTTTTCTACGCAATATCGCGCACACAAATGGGAAGAATGGGAACGCGTGTGGAGCTCTTAAGAGGTTCAGCAGCAGCAGACAATATCGCAAGTTTTGGTTGAAGCGCGCCTGTGAATTGATACAAATTGACTCGATAAATAATTACTCAACTCTTTGTCACTCCATTTGGCTCGACTTCTGTCTCACACTCATTGAACAATAATCACTGGGCATCATTTGTGCGTCTCTCTCGCACTATTTGCCTCTCGTGTGCGAGTTGGTTTGTCAAATAAGAAGCGATCGAGAGCAGGAGATTCCAATAATATGGGTAAGTAGAGTTAAAACGTGATAAAATGAGTCCAAAATTTTCCATTCTGTGCTTCAATTTAGTGAGAAATTCAAATTTCTGAAAAATTTTTGCATATCGACGGGTGAATCGAAGACTATCAAAAGTCGTTTTTTGATAGTTGACGTCTTATGTCTGTTTGGATTGATCTTAATGTCTTCTTATCACATTGGCAAAAAATAAAGAAATAAGATTTTTCTTAAAAACTCCGCGTGTAGAAAATTTCTCAATGTTGCGTTGAAAAGTATGAAAAGTCGACTTTTAATAGTTTTCGCCGCACAAATCATCCTGATCGGAATTATATAATCATTATTCGATGAGCTAAAAAGACCTCAATTTTGCATTTTTAAATCTTTTCACTGTTAAATTGACAAGAAACCAAGCCAGAAACCCTTCGTGAGTGTCTTTCGGTTTATAGACGGTAGACGAAAGTGTGAAAAAATGGGCAGGAAAAATGTAAAAAGTTGATTTTTACGAATTGTTTGAAAACAAAAATACACAAAAATTATCAAAAACCGACTTATTGTACCAAATTTTTCCAATTCGTCTATCAACTCTTCGTATTTTAGTTAATATTTCAACAAATAACAGTGGAAAAACCTGGGAAAAATTGCATAAAAATAGAATTGAGCAATTTTATCAATTTACTGAAAGATAACAGAGAGTTTATGGGAAAATTAGGAAAATTTCAAAGCAAAATCATCTCTCAAACTTCAAATCGCTCTACTGAAAAATGACGATTTTGACTTTTGATAGTCTTCACGGCACCCGTCGATATTAAATGAGAAAATAACACTAAAATAAGGCATTTTGAGCTGAATTTCTCGAAATTCTAATGACCGTTTGAATGAGAATCATTCAGTAAACGAATAAATGACAAAAACTCTTCTCAAATATTACTCGTTTTTCCCTTGAAGATGATTCAATTCGACATTCCCGTCATTCCTGTGGCATCAAATATGATTATTTTTGAAAGAAAATTCCGAGGGTGAATGAAAAACATCCTCCTTATCCATGGCATTTCTCAAGTCCTCAAGTGCTTTTCTCTCTCCCCTCTTGTGAGACACTCTCAAGAAAACACGTGAAACGGATGTTGCTGATCATTTTCTCGGGTCGCAGCATAAAAGTATCGATGATGAATCTGCGCTTGTGTGAATCTGCCAGCCAAAGTGAAGGACAAATTTAATCAAATCCGACGATCTGCGCGCGAGATGGACACAAAAAGACGCCCGTCAACAACATCGATTCATTGAGATTGTCCGAGGCGCAAAATCTCATCGTGTGGCTATTTCTGTCACTTTGGCAGGCACGAGAGAGAAAAAAAAGAGTCTCATCGTGACTCAGTGAGAAGTTCTCCATCGACTGAGTCGGGCATTAGATAAATTTATTAATCCTCCGTCAGTCAAGTTAATTGTCTGGCAAAGGCAATAATCACAGCTTCTTTTCTGTCCGCGCGCAGACTTTTCATCAAATGCAAATTCGGGGCATTTATTGGGCTCTCAGAAACCATCCAGAGAGAGTTGACTTATTGAGTCTGGGAGCAGAAAAGGATCTCATGATTCTTCTTCTCATTTCGCTGCGTCTCGGCAGACAACTTTTGTTATGCTGAGATGCGTTTGAGAATGAGAAGAAGAAGAGAGAGGAAAAGAAGCAAAAAAGGCCTGATTATATTGAGCTCCTTTCGCCAAAGGACGCACTGTGGGAATTGGGAGGACTCCGAAAAGGACTGCAGCGTGTTTTCAGAGCATGAGAATCTCCAGCAGATGTTTCCTCCACATTCGGTCGACCGATTTTCTCTGGCAGGCCGAAAAAACAGTGAGTCTTTGTAGGTGTAATTCCAGCATAGACTCACTTTTTCACCACTGAAGATCGTAAAGTTTTTTTTCCACATTTTTTTTGCCTACTTCTTTGTCCGCTTGTCTCTTTTTGGGAAAGAGAGAGAGAGAAAAATTCTCTCACAAATCGCGCTCTTGATCTTCACATTTTTTTCTTTTTTTGAGCAAACAACATAAAATCTACTTGAGTGAGTCAGAAAAATTCACGTAATTATTTCATGTTTCAGTGCAATTATTTAAGGGAGTGTTAAAGTTAATTGCAACAACCCTATTTAGTGAAAAATGATTGACCACCTAATAAATCCTCATGTTGAATTAACTCAGCCATTATTTTCCCTCTGACAATTAAGAATGCTAATGAAATTCTCCGCAACAGAGAGAGTGAAGAATTCACTTTCACGAGAAATTCTCCCCCAAAACGCCAAATTAATTGCATAAAATTGTAATTATTACCCCAAAATATTGTGTAACAACATATTATTTAATACTGGACAGTATTATTCAAAAGTCATTCCAAGGGGGAGATTTTTGAGTGATCTTTAAGATTCCTATTCAAACTTCTTCTATTTTAAGTCTAATTTCATGTTTTTTTGTATGATTAAAACACCGTTTTATTGACACAAAAGTACTGGAAATTGTATTTTGATCAAGAGAAATTAATAATTTGTGGGATTTTATGGAATTATCTCAGAATTTGGTGCAAAATCTGATGTTCTTAAGTCAAAAAGTGACTGAAAACTGCCTCAAATTTTGCCATAAAAACGTAAAAATGATATTTCAATAAATTTTTTATTGATTTTTAAATTATGAATCCAATTTTGACCAATTTTGTGACTTTTTTATAGAAAAATGGATTTTTAAATAGATTTTTATTTGTTCTTTCTGTACAAGAATTTTAAGTTTTGTATCTTATGAGACAATAGAAAAAAATCTTGTTTATCTAAAAAGCACAAATGGAAAAAAATTGTCATGTTTTGCGAATGAAAAGTCGAATTTTCATTGTTTACGCTGAAGAATTTTTCCCAAGAAAAATGTCTCAAAAATTGCAATCAAATGCATAAAACGTCGTAGATTTTCAGAATTATTCTAAAATGTTGTTTTGGACTTTGAATGAATTTTTTTCATATATTTCTTTTTATATTTTTTCACTATAAAACATTAAGGAAAATTTCAAGTAAAGTATGAAAATTTGATTTTTTTTTTAGAACTAATTTCGATAAAATCGACTCGGAAGACTAATAAAAATCGACTTTGGAAAGTAATATTTTCAGATTTTCCATTAATTTTGCCATATTTTAATCAAAAATTCTAATAAATACAGATAAAATCAACTAAAATATTTACAAAATAAAAAAAAACTTAGCAATATTGGCCACTTTAACGGACAATTTTGAAGGTGTTTTAAGTGTTTTGAAGTAAATTTGGCAAATTTTGCTATTTGAACTCGCTTTGCTGAAAAATGGCGATTTTTCGTCGAATATAAATGAAAGTATTTAAATATATTTTAAATCATTCAAATATATTGCTGGAAATATTCAATTTTTGATCACTTTTGAATTTTACATCGAAAAATAATCATCATTTGAGTAATCTTATTCGAATTTTACAATAAAAATACAAAGATTTTGATAATTTCTCACATTTTAACAACTCTTTACTCAATTTAAAAGAACTTCTCACCACAATATCTCCTCCTTGAGGTGTTTTGCTAATTATTCACAAGTATTTGGGTCGCAATGCTCATCAAAATGCTGAACTAATTAAATCACAATTAATTGCGCGCAGTGTTTTGTTGTGGGGCGGAACCCTTGTTTTCCACCCTCTTTTGTCGCTCGAAATTGCAGTTGAATTTCATTAAGACGACTTCCTGCTGAGCCAAGTAATTCCTCAGCAGAGTCGACATTCCTTTCCTTTTTCGGGGAAACTCTTCTTGCACACGCCAAGAATTGGGTCAATGCTGAAGATTTCTCACGCACGCTGTCAAAATTGTATTCCATCTCTTGAGATTTCTTTCTCTGTCTTGGCTAACAATGTGCCAATAATTCTGCAGCTTTTCCGGTCATTCGGATGCAAAACAGTGGCAAACAAAAAGAAACCATTTGGACACATGTTTTCTCACGCGTTTCTTCTGGAATTCCGAGATTCCAATTATTCAAATGTGTTGGATTTTTGAGCTTCTGTGTGTTGTGTGGCGAAAATTGGGTCGGAAATCACCTTTGACTCTCTTTTGCGCCCTTTCCGGATGTGGAAAATTGCCTCTCGAACCCCTTTTTCTCTTCACCCACAAAATGCCTCTTTTTAACGCACTTTCTTTTGAAATTCGGTTCTATTTTTAGGCTCTCAATCTTCCCAACTGCTCTGGACTCAATTTTCTCCATTTTTCTCCTCCCTTTCTTGGAATTGAAATGTGCGTGGAAAAAAGATGTCTAGTAAAATTCATAGAAGGAGAAAAAAAACCGACATATTTCTGACGATTAGTGGCATTTAATTTTAGAGACGAGCCCAAAGATAAGAAAGCCTGAATTATTCCAATAAATTATCTCACGAAACGTGCTCGGCGGGGAAATTCTTGGGCATCGCCAGAGGGAAGAAAAAGGGTTAGTCAGGCACACATTTTCCAGCGACAGGCTATTTTTAAGTGCACGTCTTCATTAGCACTGGAGAAAAGCCTTCTGCGGAGCAGCTGAACACATACAAAACGTGAATCGCAAGAATGATTCAATTCCGTGTGACACTTCGTCAAATGCGCCAAGTTTGCATTCATTTTTGCATTTTGTCCAATTTTGTCGGAGAGCGCAACTGCCGAGAATGGCATGCAAATTTCATTGATTCCCGGCCGTCAATTTTTGGCCTGATCGACTTGTGGACATGAATAAATT